ATCTCGTTGCGTATCTCGTAACAATATCAGCGCAAAAAATCGCGCAAAACGGAATGAGCTAATTAAGCTCCGTTTTTCCCGACTGTGTTTTAACTTCATTAGCGACGCACACGTTTACTCGAATTTCGAAATTTACAGTGATCAATGGGGCAGTAATTTTAATGGAGATTCGTTAAACTGAATGTTTCTAGAATAATATATCATTAAATGTAGGAAGGTATGAAATCGTGAAATCGACTTTTTCTTCTTGTAATTTGTCTGGAAATTAAATACTTAATATATATTCTAGTTTATCTATGCGATCGACAAATATTTATAAATAAAACCGAAGTAGTGACTCAATGTACAAGACTATTTTGTTATCTTAAAAAATAATTCTTTTACCGACCACTTGAATTTTTAATTCGCCTTTATCCAACCTTCCGTTGTAATCTTTTGATAGTACCGTTATCTAGGATAATGATGGTCTAAATAAATGATAGAAAATGCTTTATCCGTAATAACAGATAGAGCGATTTTCTGAAAGTGAATTCAATCCACAAAGGGCTTCTGAAGCTCCGTTCATTGGAAGATTCAGATAACTTGTGACGCTATGCCGCGTTCCTCCACCTGGAAGCACTTGAAAAGGTTTGCGTTTGAAAGGCAGCTTCGATGGAACGTCCTAATAGTGTCCTGCGGCACGCGTTAGGGTGGGTTTGGACTTCGCTTCGAGCACCCAAGCAGCATGAAACCGCATTTCTCTCTGTACATACCAGTAACCACAGTTTTTTTTTTCAAATTTCACGAGGTGGCGAATCTCAAAACTTCATACCCAAATATATTTTCCTATAAAGAATGTTTTCAGAGTCATTTAGATTTTTATAAGTTTCAAAAATGGCAAAAATCGTATTATTCATAATATATCTTAATATCTGCCCATGATTATGCGTGTCACCGTAGTCCGAAATTATTCAATGTCGGATAGAAAGTTTCCCCGCTGCAATCTGGACGTATTTCGTGATTACATTTAAATGATTTAACCTATATTCGTAAGCTTTCTCATCGCTGTGATCGCAAGTTATTCATCGGCAAAGGTTTTATTACAGATTTGTATAACGTTACATATATAATCCAACGGATTAAGTCTTGACACGCATCAAATGCTCCCATCAAAATTTCGTGGTGTTAAAATATTGATGAAATATAAGGTAACAGATGACACAGGAAAATGTGATCTGTTCGTGGAATATTTAACGCAGAAATGACAGAATTAATGAATAAATAGGTGCGGCTTTCGTTTAAATACGGACAGCAATTTTCGAGTTTCGAGTCAACTAGCTGGACTAATGTTATTAATGACTTGGACGTACGCGTGCTCGTGGCATCAGCACTATTGTGTCCCTAATGCGACGTATTAATCCATCTTCGGGCATTTCGTCGTTTAACGTAACACAAATTACGTATAATTGCTACTGTCACAGAGATTAACAAAGCACCCATTTGTTTTCAGGCGTTGTACTTTAATTAAAAGAAATCAACACAGTTTCACGTTAGAGAATACTCAATACCAAATTCTGTTCATCGCTGCGAATAAAGTTGCTGATGGTGAATAATTTAGTGCGATAAACTTTGGAGATTCAATTCATTAACAATCGCTTGGACAAACATTTCATTCGTTCTATTTATCCTATCGAACAGCTGCATTTTTAGTTTTTCGTTATAAAAGTGAGAAAAATTATTACAATAGAAAATTACCTTTTAGCAAGTGGAAATAGTAGATTATGATCAGACACGTTCACCAAGTCGTACTTTTTATCATTTTATTTCTAGAAAGAGATCAGCTATGCCATGACTTAGTCCCCAAACTTAACATTTATAATAAAAACTTGAAAAAATTCCAAACATTTAAACATTACCTGTTCAAATTGCAAAAATTACGTAAATATAATTTTGATCGCGCGCTAGCAATTTATGTTAATTTTAAATTAAAGGGTGAATCTATTGCTTTGTCCCAGCAAACAATGGCCAGCGAGTTCGCAATTGTCTCGGGTTGAAAACAGAGTTGTCGAAACTTGATGTACGCGACAAGGATGTCGGAAACTAAGCAACTCGACGTTGGGAAACATTCATCCTCTCAAAATATTATAACCGCGACGAGTTAATCCGTCTTCGAAGTTCTCCACCATGGGAATTATGCAAATCTGCGTATAGTCTCTGTGCATGCGCTTGCACAATGTCCGCAATATTTGTTGAACGTGGACAGCCAATTAATGTTTATCCTCTTCCACGTGAATGGTCTGATAATGGATGCCATCTGGATGCTCCCCTGGGCTGCATAAACGCCATTCGCGTTCGACTAATCTCGTTGATGTGGTAACCACTTTTTAAAGAAAATTTATGTTATTATCTGAGTAACTGATGATATCACTACGCGATACAAACCATTTCCTCGGTAACTATAGAAGATAATGACAAAATTAATTTAATGCACCTTAAAATAATTCAGAGTCAGAGAAAAAAGTATCGACGCAAAAATGACTCTATCGTATATTAACGATCGAGTCTCCCTTAAATGATCGTTGTATCACGCCGTAATGGAATTTCGAACACTTTAACCGCACCGGATAAAGTTATTAACGACTGAGGTGATTCTGTGTTTGCAGCATGGGAATAGGTTACGCGGCCCGAAGTACTCATTCACGCGTGGGATTATGGTCGCGCAACTGCATAACCTAGGAAATTACGTATACACGTGGTCTGTTGAATCGAACACGTTTCAGTCAAAGGCTGTTGAACGGAACGGCGCGGTGCTAATAAAATTCCGGTCGAACGCTAATTAACCATCCATTTTGTCGTGTCCTTATTAGCAAAACTAATACATCGCGATTAGGTTTCGACAGAGTTTAATGACCACCGCGGAATTTGCGTGAACTGGTTTCGCTGTCGGTATTGTTTTTATAAAAAGAAAACAATCAGCAGCCGCTGGATGGGAATTTCGGGAACTGCGGCTGTTAAAATATTTTTAAACGAATACAAAGCGTTTCCTTCCTTTTTGAAATACCCTTCATCGGAAAACGTGTTGCATAGCGACGCATCGACGTGCGGAGTACCACTACATTCCTCATTTCTCTTTCGTCGGTATTGTGTGTTTTTCACCAACTTTAGTTCGAATCTTTTGTTATCAATATCAATTTCAAACGATATTTTCGCGACTCCTATGTAATCTTTCGTCGAGTATCGATGTCTGTGCCATTCGATCGATATTGGATAGCCTTGCAAGCTAGAATTTACACCAAATAGAGAGTAGAAGATTGTTATTTTTGGCATTCCACTTTTTAAGATCAGTGTCAGGAATCCTGATCAAATTCAAATACAAGATGGCCTGCGTAACGATGATCGAAGGGCTTCGCGATCCCATTTTCGTCGACCCTAATCGGTGCATTAATCATTCGTCAGGGGCGCGGGCCGTGAAAAGAAAAAAGAAGCTTATGGCGGAAAATATTTGCTTTCGACGTCGAGAGATCGTCACACGGAACAAAATGGAGGCTCCAGGGCGAATTACCTCCTCTACTGTTACTAATTGCGCAGTACTCGAGACGCACGTGGCCGCGGCGAGAAGTCTCAACTTCTCTGAACTCGCCGAGATAATCCTTCCACGGCGGGCTCCAATCGGAGAATTACGCAAATTGCAAAACTCGACAGCTGCGACGGAATTTCTGTTGAGCGTAAATACGTCGTTTGATGAATATTTAAGGAAGAAACGCGTGCACAGATTGCACAAGATCGCGGTTGGCGCGGGCGCAGACACTTGTTCATTTAAATAATTTATTTCGCGTAGTTCCTGTGAAACGGAGTTGCAGGCGCAGTGAATCTATGTAAAATTTCAATTTTTTTCAGATGTTGATAATTAAATAACCTCGTACGATGGCGTCAATCCTTTCCGTAACGTGGACAATTATAACGAGCCTACTAACATTTAAACTTTCCCTTCAGTCACAAAATTACAGGATCCTTAAACAGTAATCTCGATCTTCGATTTCCCTGCCCTGATTATTAAAACTTGCTCGTAAAAAGCTGATGGGACTCGAGTGTCAAGTGCAAGGCACCCTCGTAATAGAGGAAAGTTGTTGCTGTACTCTGTACGAACTTGCTGGCAAAGTTTGGAAAATTGACCGAGACTTTTCGAGAAGGAAACGTCGAATGCTGGAACATTCCGTGGTACCACGGATGTAAGCTCGGTTTCTAATATAAGCTCTGATGAGATTTCTGAACGGAATCCACCAAAGGCGACAACTTTCTTCGATCCAGGAAACTAATTTATAACGAATATGAAGAGGTCGGTCTACACGTGTCTCGATTTCGATTATCCGCTTCGATTTCTCGAGATCCAACTTGGTGTTGACATACTTGAATGTCGGATATGGAATAAATTACTTTATGTTCTCCTAGCAATAAATGATAATTTCTCAAAAATATATAAATTCCTTATTTATGCAGTTTCATGGTCCCCTTCTGGAGGATATATACAGAAGTAATTCTAAATTTATAAAATGTACAAAAGGAAACTAATAATATTCACACCTCGAATGCAGAAATATTTAATACACCAAAAATGTCCTCCAAGGGTGAACACGTTCATCTATCCAAACCGAAAGCGTTCGGAATTGTGGAAACAGTCTCGAAATTCGAATTTCGTTCGGTCCGACAAAGGTATCCAGGAAAATCAATTTGAAAAACAACCGCTGCCTCGTGTTCCTCGAAACGCACGAATGCACAAAGCACGCGCCCGTTGTTACGGTTTTCCAAAACTTGGAACGGTTTTCCGTGAAACTCGGAAATTCTGAGAACGTAACCGTGGATTAGAATAGGTCCCAACCCCCAGAAACCCCTCCGCGAACGATAAAATTATCCTCGAATTTCTCAGAGACTTTCTCAGAGACACGTATCCGCAGCTTCGCTATCCAGACGCCCACTAGGAGGAATTCATCTTGATTTTGCATATTTTTGTCCAACTATCGCAGGGGTGACCATTCTGCTGTCGCTGACAGTTTTCCTGAACCTCGTGGCAGAAAGCATGCCGACGACCTCGGACGCTGTCCCTCTAATAGGTACCTCTAACAATCAACAAGATAATTACGCATCTCGCACTGGCAAGCGTGTGTTATCATATGTGTTCTATATGTCTGTAAATACATATATATGTACGCGTGTACAGAACGTCGCCATAATCGCAGCGCAATCAAGAATCGGAGATGTTTGTATGCGCCAAGGAATCGAAATCGAGGAATAATACATAGTTTCTAATGTGGCTTTACGTTTGTCGAGGAAAATTTCATTTAAATACTATAAGATACTTTTTTCATTTTTATACTTGAATACGTGTTGACGATAGCTCGTTCAAATTGGATATTCGTTCATGTGGAACATATATATATATATATATTTTTTTCAAGAGAAAGTATGACTTGATTGCACAGCTATATCGTCTGAGATATATCAATGAAAGGAACACTCAATTGTAAGCGAGTTTAGTAGTAAAATATATAAAATAATTTTGATAGGTAACGAATACCCCTCAGAGATTCTATGTGTTAAAATGAACGAAAAATGTGAACATTCTTCCGTGCCAGGCATTGTTTTCGAGAAAATCGATTTCGAAAACATGCAGAGTACGCGCATGTTCCAGTGACAAATCTGAACGACTGAAATCTCTCTGTGTCACTATCCAACTCATACTTATGAATTGATACTCCCACACGGTGTACCCACGCGCGATGGGTACAATGGCATGCGTCAAATAAAAGTATTCGGGCGCTCCGGACAATTTCAAAGTTGTTTTCCTCGACATAGACAAGTCATACGAGACTATTTTGTTCCACCTTTTCGAATCATATTCGCATGAAAAATCATCCCCTTCTTGGTTGCACCTCGATTCTTGGGACACTATATATATATACACTATATTTGTGCTTGTCGTTAAGCATCCCCTTCAGGAAGCAACCCCGAGAATCACAAGAAGGGAAAGCGTGAAAGAAAAATCATGCGGGACGGTAAGAACCTCGAAGGTCGTTCAGACTTACGGGACAATTTTGTTATTATCGGCGGGTTGAGCCCGTCGAAATCAATTTCCGGGGGACGGTGGTGAGAAAAGGACAATCTCGATTGGGGGTAGTCGAAGCGGTCGGCATTACAGTGAGTGACGACCAGCGCGAAACCATTCTTCGGTTTCGACGAAGCCGAAGAGCGGCTTCGAACGTTGCGAGCCCCGATTACACGGCTTCGACCTCGGGAAACGATTTTATTCTTTGCTTTAATAGTTTTTTCTGGCGCCCCCCGCTCCCTGCTTGTCTCGCGACTGTTCGTTCACGTGACGTTATCCTATCTGGATAGGGATTTTCGCAAACGATAAATCACGGATCTTGTCTACTTTTTGAAGTCACTTATATTTTGGAACATTAGGATTATTAATAACTTTCCATTTTAAATAACCTACTAATTAGTTTTATTCTGAATCTTCGTGTCACGTAGATATTATTTTCTAACTAGACTGAATAGGGTTAAATAGTGCACTGGAAACACACATGACTCTTTCTTTCATGAGCGCGGACAAAAGCTGGTGCGAATGGAGAAGTAAAATGATGAATGGCCGGAACAAAGTGATAGCATACTTGCAGGGCATGAATAGAAATTGAGCGCGAAACAGTGAACCGCCTTTATTTTCTGTTACTTCAATCGATGGTTTTGACAGCGATCTGCGCAATTTATGAGCTTTATTTCCAGATAAGCTATTCCACTCGGTTGCGATCCACTGTTTCAGCCGATGCAAATTTTCAAATTGTCTCCCATTTGCATAGATTGCACTTGAAAGTTCGCTCCAACGGTTTCCTATCTATAGGGTCGTACGAATGTGCCCAGGCAAACAATTCTTACGCTCTGTTTACTGTTGTTCTCAATTTTCAATCTCTGTTACTTGCAGGATTGGTTTTATTAGTTTAATCGCAACCAAGAAATAATTTAAATGATCAGAATGTAACACCTTTCAAGTAAACGTTCGATTATTAGAGAATATGATAAAAGATTTGACTTAATTTCTTCCTGATTAGAAATGCAGTTTCTTCGTATTTCAAGTATGAGATTGTCCCGTTTTCAATGGAGCACACAGTATATTTCGAAAGACGGCTGATTCCGTCGGCCATTCATCATCCCGATGATTTAGAATGAAAATAAGCGAGGATGGTGACAATGCAGGAAACGTGTCGCGCGTCGGGGCGAAGTCAAACGTGAAATATAGTTCTTACCTAAATGTGTCGAGTGTAAAATTGGGATTCGCAGCCTCATTTACTTTGGTAGTATAGAGCTGAACAATTTGCCAACACAAATAAAGGTAAAACCATGGAGAAATTTACTCGAAAAGAGGAAAAGGTTTGAAATAGAGCTGAATGCAAATAGTGTATGAAAATAAAAATAAAAATTCTTTCGTCGCGTAAACAGAGATATTTTTATGCAGCAATATTGAAGCAAGTTCTGAATTCTTGTATTTTACTTCGTATCAGTTGCCACAAATTAGTTAAATTAAATTAAATGGTCGTTTATCACAAACATGTAAAATGAATATATGTGTAATGAAAAATTGATCTGGAAACGTTCAACCTATCATTTAATGTTAACAAATTTTTTCTATAGACCTAAAAGTACGAATATTCATTGCACAGACTGTATTCCCGCCTTGGGCACTGAAGTACCTAGACACGGCAATGCCTTTTATTCCAGAACCACTCCGAGACCGCGAGCATTAACAATTGCGCCAAAGACAGAGGATGTAAGTGGTCCTAGCGTGGAACAGCAGCGAACGTTCGATGATGGGATTCCTCGAGGGTGATTGATCAACCGGTGAAACACGGTCGCGCAGCTTGGAGAAATACTTTTTCATGTCTGGCAAATTGTATTGACATTTTCGCGACGCGAGCCACATATCTGTCGGAGTGTTACCCTCGTGGGGATTCGGATCTTTATCTGAGAAGTTTTACCAGAAGATTGCACCGTGTTCCGTTTCCTATAGCGTCGGTTACGGTGCACGGGCGCCAGCTCGATAATGGGAAGTAATTGCAGCTGGGGCAAGCGTTGTTAATTAAGGCAAGGATAGCTGTTACCGCTGCTTACCGTTTCTGCGTGTCAATTGTCGAGGTTTGCGCCAGAGACTATCACGTTTGAACGAGATATCGGTTCGAAAGCATTGAGAATGACAAATTCTTCAATTATAAATGTGTGAAACCGAAGACACAGAGTTGACGTTTACATTTGATGAAAACCATCTACCAGGTTAAGTCTGGATTAGTTCAATTGATCTTTAAAGAATATATTTACATCTCCGTTTTATATCCTTCAAAGGTCCACTGTTTACACTTGAAAGCCTCTTTTAACATAGATCCTTCTTTCTAGCTGCGTTTACCATGGTTTCCGTGAGAAAAAAAGGATCACACGTACGGTGTTCTCGCTGCGAACGGATTAAAGGCTTGAAAAGCGTTTCGAGTCGGTCATTTACGCGTGCACCTCGCGCTGTCCGCGCGCGACGACACCGTGAGCTCGGGATTTCGTCGTAAACAGGATTTGCAACGGGCGACGGGAAAGTTGTTCGGCGTAAACGCGTTATAACTTTCGAAACGGCGGTCCTGGGCCGCCGCGATGGTCCTTAAAACTTGCACACGCTTTCGCGCGCAGGACGCGATAATGGCTGGTTCCGTCGGGAACTCTTTCTGCGACTGTGAACGTTTACGAATGAGAGACGCGTCGCGCGGCGCCAGATCCGTATCCACGGACGCTGGATCGCGATATCGATCAACAATTTGGCGGCTACATTGGTTTTAGGGATAGGAACGGACACGCAAAATCTCGTGGTAAAAGTTCACACTGTCTGTTATCGTCGATCAAAGGGTCGATGTTGTTTGTAGATGGTTGAGTAAATAATAGAGCTTTCGAGTAGAGCCTTCAGTTTTATTCACTTCCTGTGAATAATTAATGAATACAGTTCTAAAAACATCACGTTTCCTGCATTCTCAATATTTTACTGATTACGAATGTAAACTTGTAACTTTAAACTTGATTAAATTCTGTGGTTGATTATTAAACGTCCGAGAAATATTTCCTTGCGTTCTCCATTTTTTAACGCATAATGGGGATTCAAGCTTAAATATTTTTATTTTTTGCTACCGGCAGTGGTAGATTATTTCAGAATGAAAATGCGAAACAAGCAGGTGGGTGATTAAAGGAGAAGGCGGTAGTTTATTCTCTTTCGCATCGACATTTTTCTTTCTTTAACGTTCCTTTCTGAACCCTTCGCCACGAATAAAACATCCAGGCTTGTGTTACATTAATGTTTAGACTACTACCTCGTTCCACAATGTTATTTACCACGAAGTAAGAAAGTATCAAAAACCTTAACTGCCCAAGAAGTTAAAGTGAAAATGCAAGCGAAACAATTTTACACCGCCAAATTGTAACAAGTTCGATTCACTTCGAGTTCAAGTTCAAGTTCATACATTTCAAAGAGTTCTTAGTTAATACAAACTTAACTATTGATAATTCACTTTATTCGGCTGTTTTGACAGAATAGATCTCGAGATCTTTCATCAACGAAATCATGAAAGAAATTTTTAATCGAAAACTACCCTTCAGAGAAGATCTAATTTGGCAATTTAGGTTCTTAAAATATCTAATTTGGCAGTTTAGGTTCTTAAAATATCTAATTTCTTGGGCATCTGTGTTGCTGGTACTTGCGTTGTTCATACCCCCGAAAACATGCACGGTTCTTTCCAGTTTTGGTGTGTTGTACTAATTGTTAAACCTCGAACGGAAGCTCGAGTGTTTTAGAAGAGTACCCTAATTGACTTAACTGTTTTCTGTGTCCCCGTGTCATACTTTAGAGAATTACTCGTAGCACCGAACTCCTAGGTATATTGCTGTGTTAATTGCCTGTTGAAAGGTCCCATAGTTTACTCATAGTCTGCCGTTCTCCCCTTGGGGGGTTTAGCAAGGGATATTCCATCAGTTTATCGGGAAGCTCGTGCAAACAGTAAGTTCAATTTCACGGACTGATACGCACTACTTCCGT